ACTTTCAAGTCCAAATACAGGCCGAGAGGCCTCAGCAGCAGTTGAACTTCATTGGGACTCTACTGGGACACATGCAATGCAGGGTCTGGGACAAAGGACAGGYCGAATTGAGCTAATGCAGACCCRGCGAGGAGTGACCAGCACTATAAAGGAAGCTGCCTGCCTCATTCCTCGCYAGATCTCCACTGGCTGCAATGCGTGGAAGTGCTGGYGCACTTGTGCGCTGAGTCAGGAGGAACAGCGCTGGAGGTAGAAGATGCGCTGAATGCAGGAAGAAGCCTGTACGTTGGAGATGACGCAGCCATAGCTGCCCAGCGAGTTAGCATTAGTAGTAGTGGGTTAGTATGTAGCTATGMGTAGTATTCAGAGTAGATCCTCATGAGTGAAGGGTGTGTATGCATSKCAGGARGAAGGGACTGAGGCTGAGAGTGTTCATTCAAGGTTCGGCTATGGAAGATACTTACCTGAGTTGGATGTGACCTGCAGAGGYGGCGCTGAKGAGTAGTGACCACATTGATGACTTGGAGACTATCTGCAGGAGTAGTGCTGATTCACTGGAAGTCATAGGGATGAGTTGACAAGAGATTGGTGTTGCGYTGATGAGCGCTGAACTCAGGGGAACTTTGAAACACTTYGTATTCATATTTCTGATAATATAAGCTGTGAAACTCGGTCSTCTTCTTCTCTACCTTTGTCTATGGTTGAGACTATTGATCACTGCGTGTGAAGATGATGCATGACATGTACACATCTGCATGAGATGGTCCCCAGGACCCATGCAATTTTGGTATCGGAGCAGATGCTCGCTACTCTCAAATCGCTGGTCCGATCAAGGCCGGCGAGAAGAAGTGGTACCGGATCGACCCATCCGCCACGAGATCATCTTCGAGGACGGGGCCGTACCTCCTCGCGGTTGCATCTACCGAATGAGCGAGGAAGAGTTAAGTGTGCTTCGGGCACAACTCGACGACCTTCTAGAGAAAGGCTGGATTCGACCTAGCTCATCGCCATACGGTGCTCCTGTTCTCTTCGTCCGGAAGAAGAACAAGGACCTGCGGTTGTGCATCGATTATCGCAAGCTCAACGCGCAGATGATCAGGAACGTCGGTCCTCTCCCACGCATCGACGACCTTCTCGAGCGATTGGCCGGCGCCCAGTTCTTCTCTAAGCTAGATCTCAAGTCAGGGTACCACCAACTCGAGATTCGCAAGGAGGATCGCTACAAGACCGCGTTCAAGACACGGTATGGGCATTTCGAATGGCTGGTCATGCCATTTGGCCTTACGAATGCCCCAACCACTTTCCAAGCGACTATGACGACGGAGTTCCGACACATGCTGGATCGTTTCGTACTCATCTACCTCGACGACATGCTGGTTTACAGCCGGAGTCTGGACGAGCATGTGGAACACCTACGCACGGTTTTGGAGCGGCTACGACAGGCCAAGTACAAAGCAAACCGTGACAAGTGCGAGTTCGCACAGCAGGAGCTGGAGTACTTGGGACACTATGTGACGCCGCAAGGCATCCGTCCGCTTGCGGACAAGATCGAGGCCCTACGAATATGGCACGAGCCCACCAATACCACGGACGTTCGTTTATTCATGGGGTTGGCTGGCTACTATCAGCGATTCATTACCGGATACTCCAGGATTGCTGCACCTATGACGAGGTTACAGTCGCCAAAGGTGCCATTCGTATTCGATGACGACGCACGCCGGTCATTCCAAGCACTTAAGATGGCCATGCTCATGGCACCCGTCCTCAGCATCTATGACCCCACCTTGCCGACGAGAGTGACTACAGACGCTTCCGGCTATGGCATTGGGGCAGTCTTGGAACTGCACGCCGGCGACGATTGGCACCCGGTGGAGTATTTCAGCCACAAAGTACCTCCCATCAACTCGCTTGATGATGCAAGGAAGAAGGAGCTTCTCGCGTTCGTCATGGCTCTCAAGCGATGGCGGCACTTCCTCCTTGGGCGTCGTAGGTTCACATGGGTTACGAACAACAATCCATTGACCTACTACAAGACGCAGGATACGGTGAGCAGCACGATCGGACGATGATGTACTCTCGCGAAGACCAGATCTTTGCGCTATGACACATCATGCCTTCGCATTCGACGAGGAGCTTCAGCGACACTTCATCCGGGCATATCAGTCTGATTCGGACTTCGACACGCTCCATGCACAGCTATCTTCGGATCACCCGCCGACCACCCATTACCGCATTGCCGACGGGTACTTGCTCCTCCACTCGAGAGGCAAGGACTTACTATGTGTCCCACGCGACCGTCGTCTTTGGACTCGCCTCCGCGGCGAGTACCATGATTCACGATTCGCTGGCCATTTCGGAGTCAACCGCACTATTGCACGGCTTCGATAGCGATTCCGATGGCCCGATCTCATTACCGATGTCACTCGGTATTGCGACTCTTGCGAAGTTTGCCGACGCTGCAAGCCCCGCAACCGCAATCCCTACGGCGAGTTACACCCGATGCCTATCCCACGGGAACTCGGTCTCTCCATTGCCATGGACGTCACCAGTCCGTTTCCTCGCGACCGGCTCGGGCACGACGGCATCCTCACGGTTGTGGACCGATTGAGTAAGTACTCGCGTTTTCTCCCTTGCAAGTACTACTCCACGGCTCCCGAGCTGGCACGCCTCCTGCACACTGGTTGGATTTGTGGCCACGGTGTACCAGAAGACATTGTCAGCGACCGCGACACTCGTTTCATGCCGGCGTTTTGGACTGCTCTCATGCAGGAGTCCGACACAACAATGAAACCAAGTTCAGCTCGACATCCTCAGACAGACGGGCAGACGGAGCGGGCACATCAAACCGCTCAAATGATGCTTCGTACGCTCATCCGTCCGAACCAGAAAGATTGGGTTGACCGCCTCCCCGACATCGAGTTGCCTACAACAGTTCGGTGCATCCGGCGATCAGCGTGACTCCATTCGAGTTGCACCACGGTGGACGGAAAGGTCGGATCTTCGCCGACCTTCTCCTCCCTCGACCAACCGACATTGATGCTGCCTGCTCTCCCTCTTTCGTTCGGAAGTACAGGGAATTGCTGACTCAAGCCCGCACAAATATGCAAAAGGTTCAAGTCCACATGCAGCAGCAAGCCAACAGGCGTCGCGTACCATGTCCCATCCGCGTCGGTGATCTGGTTTGGGTCTCCGCGGAAGAGTTTGCCCTGGAACAGGATGTTTCACGCAAACTGGTTCCCAAGTGGTTTGGACCTTGGTCTGTGACAGCAGCCGCGGGCGATGAGCCCGATGGCCCTTCATTTGTGATCAACATTCCAAAGCATGTGACGGTCCATCCGGTCTTCCACGCCTTGAAGCTGGCAACTTACACGCCAGCCAAGAGCGAYGACTTTCCGGACCGACGATCGCAGGACCCTCCTTCTATGGATGGCCATCAGGAAGTTGACCGCGTTATCTCCGATCGCAAGTACGGCAGCAAGCCGCGACAGTATAAAGTCACATTCAAAGCATGTGATCGCGACGACACTCGGTGGATATCAGGCGCAGATTTGAAAGCATCCGCACCGCTGATCTACGCGCATTATGAAAAGCGCAGGTTAGCTCAGGAAGCTTCACGACCAGCCCCTCCCACCCGGACTGTGGTCCCTCCCTCAGACAGACAGCTTCGCTCTCGCAGGTAAGCTCGGTTCTTCAAGGAGGGGGGGGTGTGGCATACTGCGTAGCCACACGGGCCCTGCAGGGCCCGTCCCGGACATTCAGCCTAAAAGCCTAAAACTTAGGGCTTACAGGCCCCGTTCGTTTCAGCCTGGATGCTGGAAAACGAGGGCCTGCAGGCCTTACCTCGTTTCAGCCTATTTTTGGGTCTTTTCAGACCCAGAGTTTTCAGCCTGAAACGGAGGGCCATTTTCAGGCCCTCATTGTTTCGAACTGCCGCTAAGACTCAGGCACGATAACAGGGATGCGGAACAGGCCCAAAATAGCCTGTTCCTCACGTGCAGCCCCTGCCTCCCTTCGGCAGGCTCAAGAGGCACACCCGTAGTACATAGGAGGTTCCCATGCACTTAACGGGTAGGTAGTGTTCAGTAGGCACGAGTAGTCTTCAGGATTCGGCCGCAGCACTCAGGAGCGCTGCAGTAGTCTTCAGCGCTAGGCAGTAGTAGTAGCGCTAGCTGTAGTCTTCGGCGCTGGGCGCCATAGCTGTAGCTGTAGTCTTCAGCGCTGGGCGCTGGTAGGTGGTAGATCGTRGAGTGGGAGAGAGACTGGCGGAGGCCAGTGTTACTTACCTGTGGCGCCATCGCTCCAGCTACATCTTCGTGGTACCTGCATCAAGGCGCCAACTTCACAGGTTAGTACTGGACAGAGAGAGAGAGATAGTTCTTCTTCTTCCTCTTCTAAGTCCACCTTCTCTTCTCACCCTCTCGCCACCTGACTTCTCAGACTACGACAGAGAGAGAC